TGAATTTAAAGCTGGATCCGCCCCTGTTTCACGGCCGGTCAAATCACATTTAGAAGTGTTTTTCGGGCTTTGAAGCCGTCCTCCAAGGGAATTTCTTCCTGACGTTTCGTCCACAACTGCGGTGGACATTATCAAAGGCGATGAGGCAGTGCGCGAAGTGCTTTCCGACTAAGACTGGTTGAACTACTGGATCCCCTGTCGTATTCATGCGGCCCGGCCGTCTGAGCTCATGCGTGAGGAGTGGGCGGGGCTTCAATGGTTTTGGCGCACACGCCGTTTGCCGCAAAACGCGTTTCCAATCTTCAAACAGCTTCACAGCCCAAAAAACATGTCTAAATGTGATGATATTTGTTGGTATTGGTTTTCTCTACCAACAGTTGGGTTTGTAGTGATTATTAAGGTAAACGTGTACATATAAGTTCCATTATTTAGTTAAGTTGGGGCTCTAGGTAGGTTTTCTAGTCGGTCAGTTCGTGGCTATAATGAACTATTTTGAACAATTTCGGTGATACCCAAACGATGTTGCTGTTTGAGCGTCTCATTTTCTTGACTGAAACTTTATTTATTTTCATTATTTTTAAATAAATGACACTATTCGCGAAATATGCATGCTATTTAAGAAGGCGTTTTTGTACCTTTTACTTTACTGAGATCTTCTTTTTGGAACGAAACACGCGCATGGTGCAGCTTGTTCTCTTTCTAATGCAGACCATTGCTGACTTTTCTTGTTTTACTCAGTTTATTTTAGATAGGGAAAATGTGTTGTTCCTCTTTGCGCGTATTCCGCGTAATTAGGGCGCAGATGCAAACGACAAGGTGCAACCTAACAATCTGATGACTAAATAACCTAAATTATAGCCGCCTTTTTGGTGCTAATTAAAAGTTTTACCTGGATTTTTAGTTGGCAGGTAGTTTTGTATGTGTCGATATAAATGTACATTTCTCTAGACAAAACAGTGTTTCACTAATCCTAATCAATTGTGCCCTGCTCTGATTTCCGTTCTAGTCCAAAGGTGGTGTTTTTGTCCTCCATTATTTTCACTTTGGAGACTTTTTCCTCCGGAACGATGTCGTGAGGGTGGCGGCCAAGCGAGCCCTTGCGATCTTCCGGTTTTATTTCAAACAACAGATCGACTTGAGACGGCAGGTTGTCTTTAATGTTGGGGCTGTTGGCGTTTTCGCTCAAATCTCTCATTCCATTGGCCGTTGTGGTGTATCTGTGAAAAACCCACCAGGACGATGGTTTTTTTCCAAATTAGTCACTCACGTTCGTATATTGTCTTCGTTGGACATTCGCCGATTGGCCTCATCTATTGCCCGAAGGGCCCTTTGGCAAACTGGATCATCATCGGCCGGCATGTTGAACATTAGGTTCCGAATATCGCATCGGAACACTTCCCTTTCGAACATTTCAATCGATAATCGATTGAAATCGTTGACTGGAATCACTTCTATGTCGTATCCTAATTGGTCAAGGGCCCCTACATGTCCGAAGGGCTTAAGTAGTTTATCGAGCAAGCAGAGGCGAAGGCTTACGGAATAAACCGTTGATTTTTTGAAATCTGTGGTCGATGATGCCGTGGCACTTGTAAGGGCCGTAGTGGATTGTTAAATAGGGCATTTTCTGTCGGATTACTCGACCAGTTTTGTGAAATGTCACGGAAATGTTAGTAAAAAACTTCGTGTAACTGGAAATTTGGAACGCAGCTGCCGACCTGTAAAAGCGAAGTCTCTAGCTCAGTTTCAAATAATTGAGAACTTTAAGTTGCATTGATAAAAACCCATCCAGCAAAGTACATTTTTTGATTATTTGAAAACGCCTTTACTCGGGGAGGCAATTTAAAAAATCGAAAATCCCGCTGCAAATGACCCGTCACACAAAATGGCAACGAGTGCAAATTGGAACACACTCCATCAAGACAACAGCCAATTGTCACTGCATTGTTTACAAAGTGGTGGAAACAGTCACAAAAATTGAACTTTAAACTAAAAGTTTGTTTCCTGCCTAAAGTGATGTCACCTAATAGTCCAGTGTTCAAAATCGCCAAAATATAAAGCCGCATATCTTTTGTTTTTATATTAGAACTTGCCATTGGAAACAGAATGAGCGAAATCCGGGCTTTTCTGTCCAACTTCAACATTGTTGGCCCCATTAGTTTAGCAGTCACTATCCCATGGATCATGTTCAAGATGTTCAGTGCTGCCTGGCTGAAGCAGGGCTACAATGAGCTGGTTGGCAAGGTATGCTCAGTTTGCCATCAAGCATAGCTCTGCTAGAAGGATAACTCCATTCCATCCCTTTTTAAGGTGGTTGTTATAACTGGGGCCAGTTCGGGCTTGGGCGAAGCCCTAGCACATGAGTTTTACAAGTATGGGGCGCAGGTGATTCTCTGCGCTAGACGTCGCCAGGAGCTGGAACGGGTTAGGACTGATTTGCTGCATTCCCAGTGTCGAGAAACAACTTATCCGCCCATAATAATTCCGCTGGATTTAAGCGAATACCACAATTTGCGTACTCATGTGGACAAAATCTTGTCTATCACTGGAAGGATCGACATCCTAGTTAATAACGGCGGTATATCGCAGAGGGGAAAAGCCAAAGACACGCTCATAGAGGTTGACCAGAAGATTATGGCTGTGAACTACTTAGGAACAGTGGCCTTAACCAAAGGTAAGGCTTGCACAGTGCACATCGTCAGGGGCTTCTTGATTAATGGGGTCTTTCCTCGCAGCAATTCTAGCAGATATGTTGAAGAAAAAGCGGGGCCACATAGTATTCATCAGCTCAGTTCAAGGCCTAGTGGCTCTACCAGACCGATCATCTTACAGTGCATCCAAACACGCCCTACAAGCCTTTGGCGACAGCCTTAGAGCTGAAGTGGCCTCTGAAAACATTCACGTTACGATCGTAAGCCCCGGGTACATAAAAACCCAATTGTCCTTAAACGCCTTGGTGGGAAGTGGCGGATTACATGGCGAAATGGATGCTACCACGCAATCTGGCTACACTCCCGAATATGCGGCACAGCAAATAGTTAAGGCGATAATCACCAAAAAAAAGGAAATGGTGCTGAGCACTCTTTTGCCGAAAATCGCCATTTTATTGAGACGGTATTTTCCGTTTTTGTACTTTTTGGTCATGGAAATGAGAGCCAAAAAAAGCACGCTTAAGGATTTGGCAGTGAACCAGGACAATCAGAAGAAGGAATAGGTTGATTATCTTTTCGTTGTCATCAAGGGTTTATTAGGTTGTAAATTGCCAACTGTTTATCGTAAAAACGGGGGAGGATATTCGGGTTTTTGCTTGCTTTTATGCCTGGGAAATATCTCCAAATCATCTTCAAACGATTTTTTTTTATTTCCAACTGCTGTAACTGTAACCAATTTGTGGCCACTTGGGGTAGCAATGTAGAAGGACGACAAGGTTTCTTTGCGCTATTGATTAATTATATTCTCCTCAAATAAATAATCTCAAACTTTGCTTTTTTGGCTAGTATCAGCAACAGCAAAAAGAAAAACCCTGTAAAAACGTCCTCGAGTATTATTCGATTAAAATATCTTTTGAACGACTGATGCCATTTATATTTATCTATGAATATACGTTTTTCTTCAGGAATGTAGTGCGTCGAAATGTGTATATATGGACGAACTTGACTAGTTTAACAGCGTGACCAAACTTGCATTTAGTAGAGAATTTCTAGTTAAATGTATGTATGTTTCTGTGTTATGGTAAATAGATAGTTTAATTTTGTTATTGGTGAAAATACAAAGGCTGCAGAACTTTTGCTTTCATCCCCACATCATCATTGCGATCACTCCAAATCAAAGCGCATGTTTTTAAGTAATATAAACTCTATTTAAAAATTCATTTTGCAACAATTGAGTACAGCAACATTTGCCCCTATTGGCTTCGCATGCCAACATACAACCCAATCAAATCCTACTAAGGCTGCCACAAATACTCTATAACAGTTAACAATTCTACGAGCCTTTGGTTTTTTTGGTGCAGGGAGATCATTTGCTGCAACGTAATTTGTAAAAAAGACCAAAAATATATCCTATGAACATGCTTCTAGCTAAAATCCGCTACTTTACTGAGGCATACAGTCGATACACGCACAAAGCGGCTGCAGTTAAGGATATTGTACAATGCAGGACTTTTCTACGCGTATCGTCTTTTCGAACTAAAACTACTGGAGACGCTGCTGTGATCACGCTGAGAATTGGAAGCCTTGCTAGTTTTCTTGGATCTTTTTCCACCTAAGAAGCGCATATTTTTATTCAGGACTTTCAATGCTCTTATAAACAAATTTCGACAGTTTTCAAGTGAATATGATGGAATTTTGGCTTGTGTTTCAACAACGGATTGACCAGGACAAGGGAAAATCTCTAAGGAAAGGTTGTTAGTGGAACTTACTTGATATTTAACGCAGTGATCGAACTGCCACAATGCTGTATACAGCCCGGTGCATAATACTGAAATTATTCCAAGAGGGGCTTGAGGTACGAAGGTTTGGGGCCAAACAAAGCCTGCAAGTGAAAGTGCGCTTCAATCCACCATCCCTCACAATCAGGTGGCCTTACCAGTTACTACACTGGAAAGCCCTCCAACTACAGCCAGTTTATGCAGAATATTTCCAGCAGTGATCCACCTGGCTGTCTCGTCGCCTAGTTGTGTGGGTTCGATGACAATGATGGCACAGCAACTGTCCAGGTATTTTTCCAGCTGCATTTCGAACAACTCCTGGGAGTTGGACCCATCGTAGACTTCCCGGATCACTGCTACATTGCTAGCGTGTAACCTAGACAATGGGGGCATAGTGTTAGTGGGGCTTTTGGGGGCTGTGCCAAAACCCTTACCGCTCCGTTCTATCACCGCCTCCATCCATGCTGTTATGTGACCGATTTAGATGAGCTCAGCTAAGCACTGATAATGGATTGTTTGCCGCTTTGGGATTGGAAACTTTGTTTGAATATGATAAATTGATTAAATACCAAATTGACATCCAAGAACATAACCTGGGTTTACTGGGACTGCGATGACATAGCAAAACAGTGCAACGAGAGGGCGTGATGTCCCCGAGGGAAAGTTGGGGCACATGCACGGTTTACCTATAAATAACACTTTGGAAAACAATGCAAATTCATAAATAACAGTTTGAGCTGACAGCGGTGACAATCGACAAGCACTGTGATGGGTTGACGTTACTGCTTCTAGCCGTGTATGTTCAGTTGCCTGAGAATGGAACCTAAAGTCGAGCTAAAATCAAGACAAGTCAGGCATGTGCAGACTGTGTGTATTCCGTATCAATTTTCCCATAGTCAGATCGTTGTCAAACTCAAAGATTCCAGCTAGCATGCCGTACGTTCGTCCTTTACGTGGATTTCAGTTCATGTCGAGCATTCGCGGTGTGAATAGAGGCTAGAAAAGATCGCTAGTGACTTGTTTTTTTCTGACAGTGGTGTTTACAAGTTGTCCGGACAACAGCAGTGCTTCATTGTCATTTTACTCACCAGCATGGCCCCGTCTGACTTTCGGGGATTGATTTTGAGTGAACGGGGGGACGGCTAATCTGCTCTCTAATCAAAATTCCCAAAATCGTCCACTTGAAGTGAAGTGCAGCATGTCTCAGTGCAAGAAATTCGCCCCGAATATTTTTCACAAGTCGAAATGCTCCAACTGCTTTCGACAGAAAGAGGAGCACTCGGCGGAGGCCTTGGAATGTAATCGGGTGAGTTCCAATTTTTGGCTCTAGTCCTAGAGGTATTCGACTGGCCCAACCACTTGTGGATACTTGCTACTGAAGATTATTCCAGAATTTTGTTTAATCTTCTATGACTGCGCCCCAAAAGGGAAAAGTTTGACATCGACTTGTGTCAACAGTGTTTTCTTGATGTCTGACAGAATTTTGTTTTTTCAAAAGTCAAAAAGTCTCCAAAAATTGATGAAAAGCGCTGAAAATCCCAATAATGGAAAAGCATTTTCTTAGTGGATGGTGCTGCTTCCAGCTCTCCAATTATTTTATTTTTTTAAAATCAATTGACGAAAAATACATCAAACTTGCCAATAGATGCACTGAAAACGCCAGAAATTTTCTAAAAAACAGTGATCCCTCAAAACTCAAACTCAGGTGCATGTCGCACTAAAAAAATGGCCAAAAACAACACAAAAAGTCATTTTTCGCAAAAAGATAAAAAATCACCACAACTCAACATAAAATGCGGCAAATTTGCAAATTAGTACCTTAATAGAGCAAGATTTCCTCTATGAAATGGCGATAATGCCCACTTTCCTTCACATATCAGTTTTGACTGGCAAATTTTCAAAAAAATACTCATACAAAAAAATAATTTTTTTCTTATTAAGCAATGCTAGAAGCAGGCCTAGAAATTAAAAAATCGCCAAAACCCAACGAAAATTGATGCAAATTGGGAAATTTCCACATTAATAGAGCAATATTTTCTATATTAAATAGCGTCATTGCCAATTGTGAATTAGATTTCAGTTTAGTCACGAATTTCTGAAAAATGTGACAACGTAACTTTTCCTTTCTAAGGAGCAATGCTCGGTCTGGCAATAAAAAAATGAGGCAGGCAGAGGCCTCATCGCCTTTGATAATGTCCATCGCAGCTGTGGACGAAACGTCAGGAAGAAATTCCCATGGACCACGGTTTCAAAGCCCGAAAAACATTTCTAAATGTGATTTGACCGGCCGTGAAAACCTTCACAGTCTAATAAAAAAATTGCCACAGCTCGACGAAGATTGTCGAAAATTTGAAAATTGCCAGATTAGTAAAGCAAGATTTTCTCTATCAAATAGCGTCAATCCAAATTCTCCATCTAATTTCACTTTTGACTGACGAATTTTCGAAGAAAATGGCTCTTAAACTTTTCCCTTATTGGTATGAAGGAATGCTCAGCCTAGCAATAAAAAATCGCAGCAACTCAACAAAAATTGACGCAAATTTGCATATTACCACATTAATAGAGGAAGATTTTCTCTATTAAATGGCATTAATGCCAACTTTCTGTATAATCCCAGTTTTGCCTGACGAATTTAAAAAAAATGACTTCCAACTCTTACCGTATAAGAAAGAATGTTCAGCTAAGCGATAAAAATTAGCCCCAACTTAACGAAAATCGTATCAAATTGCCACATTAACAGAGCAGGATGTTCTCTATTAAACATCGCCAATGCTATTGTTGCATTGACGAATTTTTGAAGGAAATCTTGAGGTTTTTTATAGCAGGCCCATAATCGGCTCGGTGATAAAAAATTGGCAAAATTGCGGTAAATTGTCACACATTTGCCTTTTACAGGATCCAATAATTGCATGTAGCAAGGCCCTTGGGGGTTAATTGTTGTTGTTAATTAAAGAAAATCGCAAACACTACCCAAATAATGTGGATAAATTGTAGTTAAGTGTACCTAATGTATAGGGTTGTAATACGTTTGGGTTAAGTTTGGGGTTTAACTAGGGGGAATGCAAAACGCCATTTCATTTCATGTACTTAATTGTTAGGTGATTTGAAATAAAGACTTATTATTATTATTATTATTTTAATAATAATCAAGTTAGCAAGACCTCGGATTCCCGATGAACCGACTCGTCGATCGATTACCAGACCAGAGCCAGTTCAATATCACAGCCATTTACGTCCACCTCAAATTAACAAAAAAATCTTTGACTGACTTTGAAGGTGATTCGGCTTGCAAAAGACGCGAAATACTTGGCTGCCACAAAAAGTATGCCCATATAAGACCAAGTGGTATGGTAGATCTATCGTGCTTTCACATACAGTTGCGAGATTATCTAGAATTTATGTTAATGCCACATATACAAAGCAAGTTTGGATTGTTTATTCGAATATTCTCACTTTAATCTGCTGTTGTGTGCGTTTCATTGTGGGAATGCCTTGAAATGGTGACAAAAAATCACCGTGGTCAGATATATTTTTCGATCAGCGCTCGTATATTGGGCTAGCGAGACAAAGACCCCGTGGTTGCCATGGGGATTGATGTGTTACTCTCACTCCCGCGCGTTGGCAGGATGATAGTCAAATGGATTCGCCCCCGCTTGAATGCGTCATTGATACTACGAGGGGCGATTGATTGCAAAAAAGGCGTCGCGTGATTTTACATCTCGTGGTTGTTCACGAATCAACTGTTTCCTTCTGTTCTTATCCGCCACCTTGCAAAGCGTTTTTTACCCAGCTACCGTTTTCCGACGTTTCATGTAAAATTTATAACTAGGTAGTTGATTTTGCTTTTCGCTTAAATGGGGGGTGGGCGACTGGAACTAGATGTAGACAAATAAGTTGTACCAGTGATGTTGTGCGGTCAGCAGTCGCCAGTCCATAATTGCTGAAAAATGCGAGTAAGTGTGTTAACATATAATTATGCATTGTAAAGTAACACCTCCTCGCCTATCGAGTACAGTTAAAGAAACCTACAAGAGGACAGATTATCTATTCGTGTAGGTAGGCCAGCGGGTAATCGTCTAAAGTAAGCGTTTCGATAAAAATTATTTGCCAGCGAATCCTTGACACCGTTTCGCAAATTGATGCACTTCCATCGTTTAAGAGCCCGAAAACCATTAAACAAAGCGACTTTTTCAAATTGAAAAATGCCCATCGGCAAGGTGTGGTGCTATCGATACTCACTATCATACAAATTGGAAATTATTATCGTCGTTCCCAACTAATTAGCTTCTCTTCCCACACTGGAACTTTATGAACGATCTGTTTTGGTTCAGGTTGGCAAAGTTATGTCCTCGGTTATGCCACAGTTGTCGTGCAACGAGCAGAAGATGAATTATTTCATCAATAGTCGTGAATGATTTGTGCTTGAAAATTACGATCAACTCTTTCCACTTTCTCAATTGTTTGGCACCGGAGTTTTGTGATGAGCAATTTGAGGAATGAGGCAAATTAGGGCAAAATTTGTTGGGTAATGCGTACAAACTTCTGGAAAGTTTGAAAGCGACCTATCTTCAAAAGGGTTGAAAATGCTCAATGATTCTTTCAGACCTTTTTTATAGCCTGCATTGAGGATTTTCTTTGGGTCTTTGGATTTAGCAGCACTTCCAAGCCTTCTCCACTATATCTCCTTCACACAATAGTCTTTTTTTTGATAGCTCTTTTAAAAAACTCTCTTTTTCAATTGTTAGCGTCTAAAGAGGTTTTCTCGTTAAAGTTTAAAAGCATATTGCCAGGCAGGTTTTTCAGACAATAATGAAAATAATACTTCCTAATACATCCCATGAGCCGCGTTTGCATTGTCTTTAGCGACGATTTTATTTGTGGAACATGAAGCCGCCTTTCTTTCGCCTTTTACCCACGGTCTACTAGCAGAATGAATTATTTAACAATCGGGGTATCCCACAAATCTATTATTCATTGTTTCTTCCGTCCATCGTCATTGGCATAGGTCGGCAATCATATTTACCAGTTATATAACATCTAATTGGCAGAACTGCCGTCTGTAAAAGGACAAAGAGGAAATGCATAAAAGGAGCTTGATGGCGGACTTTTCATATACTTCATGAAATCATCTTTAATCATTCTGCTGTCGCTTCACTTTGGGCAACTGTCTTAAAGGAAGTCATCAATCTTATGAATGTCTGTATGAAATTCGTGGCCAGGCACTCATTATGGGTGGTTTTCGTGATTTTTTTACTCTCTTTTATCAACTGATTGTAACGCGTTATTTGTCCATTCAATGCTTAAGGTTGATTTTTCCCCCGATCCCTACGCAAAACCGCAACATGCTCGACTAGATGAAGCCCAGTGAACAAATCTGAGCAATTGGCGGGTCTTGACGGATACGAAGTCGAATTTTCGGGATGTAATCTGACGACATTAAAGGCCAGGACAAGTCGTAAAAATGTGAACCGAAAAACAAATCGCTCGCAAAATCGTAACACATGTCCGAGATAGGAACGCGCTTACGTGCACGGCCTTTGGCTGTATTTTATCGGGCATCCACAAGAATGGCCTGAAGCCATCGGAGCCAACGTGAGTGAACAGTTAGGAATGCGCCTGCTGCCATGCCACAGAAATGTGTTATTTGGATTCCGGATTTTGTTGGGGGTTTTTTCCTTGTCGCGATTTTCGGGCGTCTTTTCGACCCATCTAACAGACGACGCCGAAGAACTGGCCAAACGAACTTCTTCAGCAGGAACACAGTGTTGAGGATTACATTTTAGTTCTAATAGCGGCCGAGTGTCCTCGCAGGACTATGAAAATTTCAAGTTTAGTTTTTTTTTTTTTAGTTTTAAATTTACGAATTTTTAAAATAGAGAGGGCGAAAACGTCAATTTTGAGACCAGTGTCCACTAGGCTAGAAATAATCAGGATCTTCGGCGATTTTCTCGAAAATTTCTGCACATTTAGAGTCGAGTGTCTTCTAATAATTGTGAAATTTCAACCTGCTACTTTCTCTAGTTTGGAATTGAGGATTTTTTAAAGGAGAGAGTGCACTTATACGTAAACATCCATTTTGAGACCAACATCCGCTAGGCTTGAAAAAATCAGGATTACCGGCGATTTTGGCGAAAATGTCAGCTTTTGTAGAGTCGACTGTCCTTTAAGGACT